AGCAGAGAATAGTGGGAGCCTCTTACCATCATACAGGTCTCGTTCTGCCCCTTGGGCTGCAGGCCACTGAATGTTGAGCTTTGCCGCTGCTCGTCTGCAAACCTCGTACAGATCGGCGACCCCCAGTGATGCCACCTCAGTGCCGCTAGACGGCCTAGAGTGTTGAGCGGGGAAGGTGGAATCCTCTTCCTCCTCTTCCATGTCCAAGCCGAGGAGGTCTGAGTTTGCGTCATCTCCAGCCTCCTCATCACCCGCATCGAGCAGCCCGCTGTCCACCAGCCCCTCGAACAGAGGTGGTAGCGGGGGCTCCTCTTCCATCATATCCGCCCAGCTTGTGGAGGTTCGTGGCTGATGGTTGTCACCTGCATCTACAGGCGTGCGCGAGTCGAGGCCTGGGTCCCGGCCGTTACCACGCTAAGCCTCCTTTCCCTTATCTTCTCCGGCATGGAGGAGCAGTGAGGGCATGTCTGCGGGGTAGCCAGTGATGCCTGGGCGTGAGCAGCACCCATGCAAGCTATGCACATAGGATGAGGGTCCCTGCCTGAAATGGAAGCCCCACATGACGCCGGGCACAGGCGGGATGCAGCCTCTTTAGCCTTCGGTTCCGACCCGCCCGTCGGGGTAGGGATGGAAGCCATAGCTGACAATCTGACTCGTCGTGACAAGTTAGCCCGAAAAAACATTAGCAAGCTAGTTAGCAGGTATAAGTCTGCAACTAAAGCTATATTTCATATGTAGGGCAACTCGTCGTGACACGTTAGCTGCAACAAAGTAGCTCATTAGCAAATAAATGCTAAATAAGCACAGGACAAGCTCGCCTCAACCCGTTAGCTTGAGCCACACTCGCTAATACTACTCCGTCAATGACAACCGAGTAGCCGTAGGAGCAGTTCGCCGTGACGCGTTGACTATTCCTAGTGAAGTGTGACAAGTGACTTAGAAGCACTTACTCAGCTCAAATCCAGACTGCGTCGGGACTGCATTCGGCGACGTATCCTGACGGTATGCCTGGGAACAGTTAAGCAGCTAACTAAAGATAGCCTGAAAATCGCTGAGGGAGCAAAGTGTAGTTTCTCACGGGAAGAAAGCGAGAATGAGTAGGAGGGGTTGGTTGGCTGTGTATATACTGGGTGGGCGGAGCCTGGGCACGGTGCAACCAGCCTGTCAGGGACAGACATGATGTCATTGGAGCTTCCGTAGTTGGTCACGCCAGGGCGATTCCCCACAGTGAAACACCAAACGAAGTTAGAAAAAGAACCAACATTCGTCTGCGTGAGCGTGACCGTCAGAAACCAGCGGTTACAAATGACTTGTAAATAAAAGACAGTAGAAATGATCGTGTCCGGGTCTAGAAGGAATACAAGCTTCATCAAATGGACTGTTTTCTTTAAGCTGTTGAGTCAGACCTGGTGGTTTTCAGGGAGTTGGCTGATAATTTAGCCTGTACTCTCCACAGGCACCTGCCCTCCCGCTGAGGAGTTGCTCACCACAAACGGACCTGTTGGTTTAGGGAAGCCCCTGTTCCACCGACCCGGTGCTGCAGGATCTGGTGTGGCGGTAATGAGTGAGGAGCAGATGACCCGCCCTATCAAGGCCTTCACCGCTGAGTTTGTTCGCCTGATGCTAATGGGTCTGCCAAGCCAAGCCATGGGTATAGCCCTGTGCAGCACCCTCTCTGCTCTCGGCCTGGATGTTGTGGCTCAGGTGGAGGCTAAAGACTTCGGTGCAGAGATCAAGGTAGAATACCTGGTTCACCTTTTCAGCTTGTTTCCACGGTGTGTAGGAGTGTTCATGTTAGTGCTCAGGTGGCTTTATGTTGTGGTTCTGAAGGTCTCTCTAGATGAGCTTTGTAAGAATGCAGTAGAGCAGAACCTAACATCAGGACGAGTCTCTCAGCTGCTGCTGAACAGAGCCACGGTGCTGGCCTCCTCCTACGACACAGCCTGGAAGAAGCTCGACCTGCTGAGGAGGTTGGACATAAACCTGGAGGCTGCCAAGGCCAGTCTGCAGAGGAGCCAGTTGCATACTGCTATGTTTCAGGTATGCACACACACACACACACACACACACACACACACACACACACACACACACACATGCAGTTAGCGTTTAAAGTAGTTTTGAACAGTTTGAGCTAGGGTTAGGACTGTAGCTATCGTCCTCCGCTGAAACTCTTGACTAGTTATGCCGGGTTAGCCTGTATTAGCCTGAATGTTATTTGTGTTCAGTTTAAGAAGCGGGACCACGGAGTCTGCTGGTTGTTCTTTTATACAGATTTCTTCTCTGAGGCTGCCTAGCAGAGCGGTCAAAAAGCAGCACTCTCTTCAATTAACAGTAGCGATGTTGACTTTAAGAATAACAGCAGAAACACCTTAAACGTGAGTCAAAATGATCATCCCTCTAACGGTGTGTGTGTGTGTGTGTGTGTGTGTGTGCGTGCGTGCGTGCGTGCGTGCGTGTGTGTGCTCCTCCAGTGGCAGCATGAGGATGTCCTGGGCCCCAGTAATCAGCCGTTAAGTGTCAACGTTCCTCCTCGCTCTGTGATCCTCAGCAACATGAAGAAGAAGCTGTACAAGTTGAGTCAGGACGAAGGAGCCATTATTGCTGTTCAGGTTTGTAGAAACACCCACAACAAGTTCTATGTTGTAGAACTCCCCTCATACACTAATCAAGCATCTAGCTGTGAAGAACCCACCCAGGATAGGAGGTGATCTCTCCTTTAGGATGGTGACATTGAGCCTTTGCACCGGTTCATATGAGTCCACCATATTGGGGGCATAGTTAACAGTGAGCCAAACAAGCATTGAACAAAGGAAAAAGTAGCGCCTGAGATGGTTTTTGTGATGTTTAGCATGCCTTCCACCAGTTTAAGCCCAGCTCAGTTACTGGAAGAAGTAGCTCACCTAGGTGGGGCAACAGTGAATCACAGGAGTGTTGAACGGAGAGAAAAATTGGCGACTGAGGCTGTGTTTGTTGCCAGTTTAGGCTGGTTTCTACTGGTTCAAGCCCAGTTCACTAGTGGGAAGATCAAACACACCTAAGTGGGGCTCATAGAGAGCAGTGTAGACAGAAGTTGGCTCCCTCTGTTAGCAGATTCAAGTCGGCCCTTAAAACACACTTTATCAATACTGCCTTCCCTCAGTGACGCCTTACATGAAAGTCCAGCACCGGGTTAATTTTTCTTAATTTAGTTTAAATGATTCAGTAGCTCATTTTGAACACCTTGCACCATCTTGTAGCTTTTTTGGTTTTATTTGTGCCATTTCAAATGGTTTTTATTAGGGATGTCCCGATCCGATCACATGATCGGAAATGGCCCCGATCACATGGTTTCAGACTCATCGCGACTCGGGCTTTACTTCCCGATCCAAGCCCCTATCCGGACGCGGATACTGGGCTCAAATTACAGGAGAGCAACTTGGTTCTCCTTGAAGGTTGTCAGGCTCCCCTGATGCCCTTAACTTACACACCCAGAAGGAGCACAAAGAGATCCAGTTTCTACCTTTATTATATTATTTATATGGACTCAGAGTAGCGGGATTCCTTTGGGCAGAGAGCGGCAGGCAGACCGCTGATTATTCATGAACTCCAGCTGCGTTCTGCACACGGCCACAGTAACATTTTCTAAGTTTCTAAGTGGCGTCACCAAAAAATATATAATTAACACACAGTCATTCGTGTCAATTCATTTTCTCTCTGGTAAGTTCTGTCTGGATTTGAGCATGACGTGAGGACGCGCTCGCGCTGCAGTTGCTAGTTAAAAAGTAACTTGTGAGGTGAAGAAGGAAGCAGGCAGGAGTTTTTCTGGAGGACTGGGAGCTGCAGGAAGATCAGAGACAGACAGGACAGGAAGATCAGAGACAGACAGGACAGGAAGATCAGAGACAGACAGGACAGGAAGATCAGAGACAGACAGGACAGGAAGATGGGAAAATAAAAACCAAGAAAACAAAACAAAGTTCTTAGAAAAATAAAATGTAGGTAGATTTATCCCACTACACGCGTGTACCTGTATAAAGCAATAACTTATCAGCATGTAGTATTTATATAGTTGATACAATTCAGATCATCTTCAAAACTCCGTCCCATACCCAGGGACATATCTAAGCATTTTGGGGGCCGAGGCAAAATAGACCCCTGCCAGGTATTTTAAGTTGAAGTGCTCTCTGTTTTTATATTAGACTTTTTATATTTGCAATAAAGTCCAAAAGTGAAGAATTTATGTTATTTATTACTTGATTCTTCAAGCTACCTCACAGAAGTGATCTGCTGTTAAAAATTAAAATAAAAAGGTAATTAAATAAAAAATAAGGAACATTCTGGAACGGTTTCTCCCTTTTCTTTCTTTCTTTCTTTATTTTTTATGTATCGAAAGTGTCGGATCGGGACCCAGAATCGGCATATTCTCAAAATCAAATGACTCGGACTCGAGGGCAAAAATACCTGATCCCTCGTTTTTATCATTCGTCACATTATTTTTATTTTTGGTAGTGCTGTTAACTGTTCTCTTATTCTATTGTTTTTAGTAGGAATTTTTATCCTTGATTATTTATGCAACGTTTTTATGTATTTTACCTGATTTTCATGCTTTCATTGTGTTTTGTTGATTTGTTCAAGCATTTGGCTCTTTTATGTACAGCACTTTGGTTAGCTGCCATGCTATTTTGAAAGGGTGCTTTATAGATAAATTGGTATGGTATAGTATGGTTAGCTAGCTTATGAGCGTTAGCTTAGGTTCTCCTGCATGCTGTTCACACAGATGTAAACAGGTTGCCAACCTGCCAGAATTCACCCGCTGGATTTATAACATTACAAGATAAACAGTGTTTATTTAACTGGGAGCTGATTTTTAAAAAGTCCAGATCCTTACCAGTTTTTGTCGCAGGGTCAGATACTACAATCACACCGGGGTGAGATGGGGTCAGATACTACTATCACACCGGGGTGAGACGGGGTCAGATACTACTATCACACCAGGGTGAGACGGGGTCAGATACTACTATCTCACCGGGGTCAGATACTACTATCACACCGGGGTGAGACGGGGTCAGATACTACTATCACACCGGGGTCAGATACTACTATCACACCGGGGTGAGACGGGGTCAGATACTACTATCACACCGGGGTGAGACGGGGTCAGATACTACTATCACACCGGGGTGAGACGGGGTCAGATACTACTATCACACCGGGGTGAGTCGGGGTCAGATACTACTATCACACCGGGGTGAGTCGGGGTCAGATACTACTATCTCACCGGGGTGAGACGGGGTCAGATACTACTATCACACCGGGGTGAGAAGGGGTCAGATACTACTATCACACCGGGGTGAGACAGGGTCAGATACTACTATCACACCGGGGTGAGACAGGGTCAGATACTACTATCACACCGGGGTCAGATACTACTATCACACCGGGGTCAGATACTACTATCACACCGGGGTGAGACGGGGTCAGATACTACTATCACACCGGGGTGAGACGGGGTCAGATACTACTATCACACCGGGGTGAGACAGGGTCAGATACTACTATCACACCGGGGTGAGACAGGGTCAGATACTACTATCACACCGGGGTCAGATACTACTATCACACCGGGGTCAGATACTACTATCATACCGGGGTGAGACGGGGTCAGATACTACTATCACACCGGGGTGAGACGGGGTCAGATACTACTATCACACCGGGGTCAGATACTACTATCTTACCGGGGTCAGATACTACTATCACACCGGGGTGAGACGGGGTCAGATACTACTATCACACCGGGGTGAGACGGGGTCAGATACTACTATCACACCGGGGTGAGACGGGGTCAGATACTACTATCACACCGGGGTGAGACGGGGTCAGATACTACTATCACACCGGGGTGAGTCGGGGTCAGATACTACTATCTCACCGGGGTGAGACGGGGTCAGATACTACTATCACACCGGGGTGAGAAGGGGTCAGATACTACTATCACACCGGGGTGAGACAGGGTCAGATACTACTATCACACCGGGGTGAGACAGGGTCAGATACTACTATCACACCGGGGTCAGATACTACTATCACACCGGGGTCAGATACTACTATCACACCGGGGTGAGACGGGGTCAGATACTACTATCACACCGGGGTGAGACGGGGTCAGATACTACTATCACACCGGGGTGAGACAGGGTCAGATACTACTATCACACCGGGGTGAGACAGGGTCAGATACTACTATCACACCGGGGTCAGATACTACTATCACACCGGGGTCAGATACTACTATCACACCGGGGTGAGACGGGGTCAGATACTACTATCACACCGGGGTGAGACAGGGTCAGATACTACTATCACACCGGGGTGAGACGGGGTCAGATACTACTATCACACCGGGGTGAGACAGGGTCAGATACTACTATCACACCGGGGTGAGACAGGGTCAGATACTACTATCACACTGGGGTGAGACGGGGTCAGATACTACTATCACACCGGGGTGAGAAGGGGTCAGATACTACTATCACACCGGGGTGAGTCGGGGTCAGATACTACTATCTCACCGGGGTGAGACGGGGTCAGATACTACTATCACACCGGGGTGAGAAGGGGTCAGATACTACTATCACACCGGGGTGAGACAGGGTCAGATACTACTATCACACCGGGGTCAGATACTACTATCACACCGGGGTCAGATACTACTATCACACCGGGGTGAGACGGGGTCAGATACTACTATCACACCGGGGTGAGACGGGGTCAGATACTACTATCACACCGGGGTGAGACAGGGTCAGATACTACTATCACACCGGGGTGAGACAGGGTCAGATACTACTATCACACCGGGGTCAGATACTACTATCACACCGGGGTGAGACGGGGTCAGATACTACTATCACACCGGGGTGAGACAGGGTCAGATACTACTATCACACCGGGGTGAAACAGGGTCAGATACTACTATCACACCGGGGTGAGACAGGGTCAGATACTACTATCACACCGGGGTCAGATACTACTATCACACCGGGGTGAGACGGGGTCAGATACTACTATCACACCGGGGTGAGACAGGGTCAGATACTACTATCACACCGGGGTCAGATACTACTATCACACCGGGGTGAAACAGGGTCAGAAACTACTATCACACCGGGGTGAGACAAGATATCTCATAACAGCGAGCGATGCTCATCATGCAAAATAAATAATTATCTTTTTTTTGCCACATGTAGTCCTACATTAGTACCAAATTATTATAGTAAATATCTTGTAATTCTCAGTAGTGGACGGTAATGCACATGTAGGATTATCGTCACCGTCAGCCCATGTCTTCTTCAGGAATGCTAATCTTACCCAGCAAGACGTGTTCACTGCACGTCCTAAATTACCAGGAGGGCAGCCAGGTCGTTTGATTGCTGCAGTTCATTCCCATTTTCTGTCTCCATCAAAGTAAAAAAAAAAGACAAGTTTAGTTTCCATCCTTGTTGGTTGATGAAGCCAACCACGTAGCAAGCTGCAGCATTTTACTGTGAAATCTTATCAATAAAAGAGGTTAAAGGCTACAAACTGGCTGGTTTTCTTTAGCTTTGATTGAGTTTTAACCTGTGCAAACAGTATTCTTACCGTCATGGCCAAGGGGGTGGGCCCATGAGCAGTGTGACATCACCTGCAAAGGGTCAATAAAGCAGAACTCCCTTGTTCCAGCGGGAACCATCAGTTTTAGTCTCCAGCTGTATGTCAACAGCAGTCCTCGTCTGGTGGTTAGATGTCTATCTTCTTGTAAATCTTGTGTTATTTATTGCTGTAGTCTTGGTTTTAGCCTGCCTGTGGAGAAGCCAAACACGGACAGTCCAAGGCACCGAATCCATCAATTGTTGGGTAGAACTTGTTCTTACAGCAGCTGGCTCTTTAGAAGAAGTGCATTAACAGCCTCTTTGGCTCCGACTGTCTGCAGGAGAAGCTAGCATCTCTTGAGGCTAGCATTGAGCAGCGTCTTAAATGGGCCGGTGGAGCAAACCCAGCACTGGCGCCCGTCCTGCAGGACTTTGAGATGACCATCAGAGACCGTCGAGCCACAGTGGCTCGAGACAATCAGCGCACCAACCAGGTAGCTTCAGCTGGTCTGAGACTTCACCCACAGCTCTAAGTTAGCCAACGTTCAGCAAAATAATCTTTTTGTTTTTGTCTTTTTCAGGTCACCTTCTTGTGCTCCACCATTCTTAACTTTGAAGGTCTTCGGACCCGATGCCCCGATGCTCTCAGCATGGATGCAGCCCTGTTTGACCTGCTTAAACGCTGCCAGCAAACATGCTCCTATGCTGCCCAGTTTAGCAGCACAGTGTCTCCACTGGAGCTCCGGCTGCTCCACAGGCTGGTGAGTTCAGCCTCCAAACACGACGCTTCTAGTTTATAAACCAGCAAAAGTTCAAGATCAAAATGTAAAACTGAAAAGTCACACAGCAGCAGGTTTTCAGATGAACTCTGCTTTGACAGGGTCCTGTGGCAGACATGCCAATTGGCAGTCCGGACTGGCTGAACTGTTCTCAGAGACAGCTGGAGGAAGAGCTGAGTCTGGAACGGAGAACTCAGGAGGATCGGGAGCAGCACCTGGAGGCCTGTGGAGAGACGCTGCAGCTGCTGGTCGACACCATTAAAACAATTCTCTCAAACCACAACCGCTTACTGGCTGATGTCAAACACCTGCTGAGGGCCATGTCAAAGGTACACAGGGTCCAACTCACAGCAAGCTGCAGTGCTGTCCCATTAGCTCTGTGTTTAAACATGTCAATCACTTTTAAACAAAACTCTCAACACAAGTGCTCCAAAAGGGAGGAGGAGAATGAAATCCTGAGATTGTGTATTGGTTCTGTCCTACAGGATGAGGAGGCAGCGCTGGCAGATGGTGAAGAGGTGGCATACGAGGGCAGCGTACGTCATTTCCTGTTTGAGTACAAAGCCTGGCAGGACAATATCCAGCTGGTCCTCTTCACGGTGGTCCAAACCAGCGGGCAGCATCGCAACCAAGAGCAGCTTGATCTGCTGGAGGAGATCCCCGCTACCCTAAAGGAGCTGCACACACAGAGTCAGAGGTACATCCTTAAAAATTACAAATTATCCTTAATTACAGTTTCCAAAGGTCTTAAATTACCAAAGACCCAATAAACAAGATTCTTTTATTTCTATAAAATTTTCATAAATTTCTAGTTAGTACTCAGCATTTTTTGTGTATGACATTGGCGTAAGCGGAACCGTACACATTCAGTTGGTTGTGAAAGGGGGCTATTTTTAGATGAGCACATTAGCTGGTTAAGCTAGTGGGAGTTTGCGCCATGGAGAAGTGCAAGTTTAATGGTAACTGGATGGCCAATCACACGTTCGTGACGTGGTTAGCGCCGGTTCCAGGCAATAGCTGGAAATAATAGCTTAAATTTAATTTTAAAAATAGCTTAAATTTGGTCAAAGTGGCCTTAAAAAAGTTCTTAAAAAGTCTTAAATTTGGCTCCCTTAAACCTGCAGATACCCTGACACGCACACACACACACACACACACACACACACACTCACACACACATTAAGGCTGGGTGATTTATCATTTTTATCCATCAATTTGAATTAGGCTGCCTCAGTGAGGTCAAACAACACCTATACCTGAAAGTTTTTCCTACAAAAAGCCGTACCATTGAGTCACCTAATCACACGTCCTTTCTCTCATGCTGACGGTAGAGCTCTGTGTCCGGGCATTCACTCTGAACTGACTCCGCTAAAACATGCTACGTCCAGATATTTAACCCTCCCACTGTCTTTATGGGTGGCCCCGCGAGGAAAGTTGGCCATTGAGCAGGATTGACGGTTTATCCCTTGAGGTCCACGTGGCAGATGAAGTCCTTTGGAGGCGGCTTATAGTAGAGAAATGAACATTCATTTCACGGGTAACAGCTCTGGTAGACATTCCTTCAGTCAGCATGCCAGTTGCACGCTCCTTCAAATGCTGCGACATCTGTGGCATTGGTCTGTTTGTTGGACAGATTTCAGAACAATGTTTGAGAGTCGTGGGTCTTTTGTGCATGTAGACAAAGTTTCAGATGTTTGAGTTCAGCTCGGAAAAATGGGAGCAAAAACAAGTGTTGCATTTACATTTTTGGTCAGTGTAATTTCTGTTTAAGAAAAAGGGGAAAAAAGTCCAACTTGATCAGATTTGGAATGAAAGTATTTTATTTTTAAGCTTTATCGCTGGTCCCCATTTTAAAAAGGGGGACCAGAGGGTGTGTTCCAACTATGGGAGATCACACTCCGCAGCCTTCCTGGAAAGGTCTACTCCAGGGTACTGGAGAGAAGGGTCCAGTCAATAGTTGAATCCCGATTTGAGAAGGAGCAATGTGGTTTTTGTCCTGGTCGTGGAAATGTGGACTGACTCTTTACCCTTGCTAGGGTGATGGAGGGGTCATGGGAGTTAGCCCAACCAGTCTACATGTATTTTGTAGATTAGGAGAAGGCTTATGACCGTGTCCCCAGAGGCACCCTGTGGGGGACGCTCCAGGAGTATGGGGTGGGTGGCTTTTGTTAAGGACCTTTCAGTCCCTTTACCAGAGGAGCGTGAGTATAGTCCACATAGCCGGTAGTAAGTCGGACCTGTTCCCGGTGAGGGTTGGACTCTGCCAGGGCTGCCCTTTGTCACCGGTTCTGTTCATTACCTTTATGGACAGAATTTCTAGGCACAGCCGTGGTGTGGAGTGTGTCGAGCTTGGTGGAAAGAGAATCTTGTCTCTGCTTTTTATGGATGATGTGGTCCTCCTAGCTTCATCCAGCTCTGACCTTCAGCTCTTGCTGGGTAGGTTCGCAGCCGAGTGAGAAGCGGCTGGGATGAGGATCAGCACCTCCAAATCTGAGACCATGGTTCTCGACCGGAAAAGGGTGGTTTGCCTATTCTGGGTCGGGAGAGAGTGGAGCAGTTAAAGTATCTCGGGGTCTTGTTCACAAGTGAAGGAAGAAGGGATCGGGAGATCGACAGGCGGATTGGTTCGGCGTCTGCAGTGATGCGGACTCTAAACCGATCTGTCGTGGTGAAGAGGGAGCTGAGCCAGAAAGCCAGGCTCTCGATCTACCGGTCAACGGTGGCACAGGAGTTAAGTGCTTGCCCCGTAATCGGAAGGTTGCTGGTTCGAGTCCCGCTCAGTCTGTCTTTGTCGTTATGTCCTTGGGCAAGACACTTAACCCACGTTGCCTGCTGGTGGTGGTCGGAGGGACTGGTGGCGCCAGTGCTCGGCAGCCTCGCCTCTGTCAGTGCGCCCCGGGGCAGCTGTGGCTACATTGTAGCTCATCCCCACCAGTGTGTGAATGTGTGTGTGAATGGGTGAATGACTGATTGTGTTGTAAAGCGCCTTGGAGGGTTCCATGACTCTAGAAGGCGCTATATCAAATACAGGCCATTTATCTACATCCTAATCCTCACCTATGGTCATGAGCTTTGGGTAATGACCGAAAGAACGAGATTGCGGATACAAGCGGCCGAAATTAGTTGATTTTGCAGGGTGACCACTTTCAGCCTTAGGGCTAGGGTAAGGGACTCTGACATCTGGGAGGGACTCGGAGTAGAACCGCTGCTCCTCCGCATCGAAAGGAGCCAGTTGAGGTGGTTCGGGCATCTGGTCAGGATGCCTCCTGGACGCCTCCCTCGGAAGGTGTTTTAGGCATGTCCTGTTGGCAGGAGGCCCCAGGGTCAACCCAGGACTACCTGGAGGAAATACATCTCTAGGTTGGCCAGGGAACGCCTGGGTGTCCCATCTGAGGAGCTGGCGGGCGTGGCCGGGGAAACGATTGCCTGGGAGGCCCTACTTAGAATACTGCCCCCGCAACCCGGACCCAGATAGCAAAGGAATGTGAGGTTAGGCCAGGTGAGCTTTATCAGTTAGATCTCTCACACACACACACACACACACACACGCACACACACGCACACGCACACACACGCACACACACACACACTCACACACACACTCAAGCACTCAAACAGAGTGCCAGGGGAAACACACACCTAATTTCCACTGTTTCTGACCTCTCTGTGTCCGTCTCCGCCCTCATCTAGCGTTTACAATGGTCTGGTGGGCTTTGCCTCCCCCCTGGTGACTGACAGAGACACGGAGTGTTCCAGCCCAGTTTCCACTGCTCAGGCCAGCTTTGCAGCAGGTATGGAACAAGATTTCATTCTGTTTTTGGAAGAGATGAGGACGAAAAGGTCTCTATTATCAACTCTTTTAGGGTTAGGGTGTCACAGCAAATACTAAACACTGAGAAAAGTTGTGACCATCTAACAGACAGAGCTCACAAGTTTAGTAATGTGATGTCCATTGCTGCTTTTCTGACTAGCTTTTACCTAACCCTAACCAATTTTAAGTGTGAAGAGACACCATCTTTAAATGATTCAGACGTGCAACATTCACCGCTGTTAACTGCAAATAAAATGTTCTCCATGGAGAGTAATATTTAAGTTAAGGGTGGGCAATATGGAAAAAATAAGGGCTTTGGATGCTTTTCCAGACTTTGTAGATTTCACAAAAGTCCAGTTAGGTATCTGCAATCAAGAAAGCTCTCCAAAATTTCAGAGAAAACAATCCATCATGTTAAGCAAAACTCATGATGCATTTGCATCCTCTGCTCAGACGATTACACTCTGTATTTTGGCCCCACTGCTTTCTGTAGCGATTTCCTGACTAGGTGAGGGCGGGGTTTGACTCATCTCTCTACAAATCCAGAATAATCAGAACTTTGGTTGGTAGCCACAGTGAAAAGGCTCGCTAAAACATGAACGAACGTCCCTAAATAATAAAATCCACTAAACCAAGTTTACAGCAGTCAGACCCATAGAGCAAAGAAAATAAAACCTTCAGTGCAAAAAAATGTGGTTTGTTGTGTAAAGGCAGACAAGGCTTTAGTTAAACCATAAAAAACTAATGTTTCTTTCCACAGACAGCCACGAGTAGGGCTGCAACAACGAATCGATAAATTCGATGAAAATCGATTACTAAAAGCGTTGGCAACGAATTGCGTCATCGATTCGTTGTGTTGCGCAACTCTTCCAAAAGCCCCCTCCCCTCCCGCCCGCCGTTGCGCGCAGACCGGTGGAGAGCCGGCAGGTGTTTAAGAGGAACATGGCAGAAGCAGCGAGACTCCAAAAAAGTAAAAACTTCTAAAGTTTGCGAGCATTTTCAGTTAAATCAGGCGAAGACATGCGACGTTTGTAGGTCAGACAGCATGGCGCGGGGATACTACGGTGATGATGCAGCGTCTTAAACGCAAGCATGTCAGAATCATCAGCGAGGAAGGAGAGAGCTCGGTGTCCGGGTAAGTTAAAATCTTTTCAAAAGTGATTCACCCAAGCCCCGGATTATTACACAGGCTAGACATGCCCTAAGCTCGTATAAAAAACTCCATAAAATTGTAAGCGCGACGCTATTAGATAGGGGGGGGGGGGGGGACTCGCGCCGCTGCGAACCGGTTCCGCCGTCACATTCCCGCAGAAACTGGTTGATCACACCGGGGCCAGACTACTAACGTGGTTTTACAACCACAATGTCCTCAGAAGCGAAAATGCTTTTAAAAGGGAGGGAGGAGTCCTAACTGTTGCTGCAGGCGTGTTGTGTGTGAGAGCAGTTATATACTGGTTAATATATTTTTGGGTTCAGTTGCTTTCATGTGGCCTAATGTGAGTCTATTTGGGATCATTGGAATGATCAGCAGGATTTCTTGATGTGACTTTATGGCAGTTGCCCAGGGCATCATCGCAAGGAGGATGGCATTCATTTACTTTTGTTTTAGTTGGTATTTTTCAGTCATTTTTGGAAATACGGTAGTGATTAATTTTGATTAATTCACAGCCTATGTTTAATTACATTTAAAAATTAGTTGTTTGACATCCCCAATTATAATAAATGTCTACGGATGAGATCAAACAAAACAGATGAGAATTGCCCTTAAAGAGCAAGTCACCCCCAAATAAACTTTTTTTTGCTGATAAACTAAATAAACGAGTGTCTAATCGTGCTGCAGACACGTGTCGTCAATAATTTGGCACTTCAGTGCATCTTAGTTCAAATTTAAATATTCTTCCTAAAACTGGCAGTGTTGTGCCATTGTCAGGTAAAAACTCTGCACTGTATTTGAATTTAAATCTGCCACCGCTATTGGCTAAGAAGTATGATATGATGTAAACTGGTACATTATGATGTCACAATGCTGTCGTGAGCCTGAGTGTGTGTGTATTTGTTAGCGGCTCCGCCCTCTCGGTCTGCCAGGCAACAGCATGTGTTGCATTTTTCAAACATAAAGCAGGAGTGGAGTTAGACTCTGGTAGGGGTTGACTTGCTCTTTAAGCTGTTTAACTTGGACCAAGCATTTTAGGTCACAGATAGGTGTAGCTTAGGGTCTCTGTCTATACACCTTATAAGACAATTTAGGTGATGGCATGTTGTTTTTCTGCTATTGAACTGTTTTCTAATAATGTTGTGTTTAATAAAGTGAAGGAAGGAGAAAAATAACGTTTCCCTAGCAGTTTTTAAAAATGTCCCTATGTAATCCGATTAATTGATTAATCGTGTCGAGACCCCATCCGATTAATCGATTATCCAAATAATCGTTTGTTGCAGCCCTAGCCACGAGTTCTCTCATCTAGCCCTGGTCTATCGGTACATGGCAGGAATTGCTTTGTCAGTGAAATGTCTGGCTTGGTATGATTTGTCTGGGTTCAAGGTTGTGCATCATAAAGCAACATCTGTCATTCTCGACGATGCTGAACAGACAAAGGGACTAAAGCCTAGTTTATGCTTCTGTGTCAGCACGACAATGGAGAGACGCACACGCCCGGCATTGGCAGACTTCTACAAGCTGTTCTGTGTCTGCTGCTACATATCTTCAGCTTTCTTTGTTTTTCAAAGTGCAGTGGCCGTGCTGTTGACAAAAGTAGCATCCTCACCAATCACAACCTTGCGTTCTCCATCTCGTTCAATGTGTGTTTCGAAAATTGAGCTAGACTCCGTCCGTCCAATAATGACGTTGCATGTCTCCATACCTATGAGGTTTTACAGATAGGTGTACACGGAGATGGCATGTGTTATCAACTTCAGTAGAGTTAAAACGGAGCTTTTTCTGAAAAAAGTAACGCCGGACTGTGCAGGCAAGCTAACAGCACAGCCTTTCCTGTGAATGTTCGTAGCGTGCCATTGTGAGGCAGTTCTTGCACGCTACATAGTCTTCATCTGGCTTTGTTCCATCCACACAACTAGGGCTACACAATATATCGTAAATATGTCGTTATCGCGATATCAGCATGCGCAATATACATATCACAAAGAACAGATAAATATTGTAATGGTCAGCTCAAATGTTTGCTACACATAATATATTCTGTCAATCAAACGGAAGCATGATGTTTTTTTAACAAATCAACTAGAACTCTTCACCCATTTGGCCAATTGGGTGGGTTCTCAAAGGTCAGATGCCCACCCCCGAAACTTAATTTTGATGGTTTACAAACACCTGAGTTGGCTTTGTTCTGCTGATTCTGCTTTTCCTGGGATTAGCTCATTGTCTTTTCTTGTTAATTTTCTTTTTTCCTTTCTTTTGCTTTTTCTCATTTTTATGATTTTTTTGTCACTTATAAATATTTTTGTTTTTGATAATTTTTGTTCCTGGATTAAGTTTTTATTTATCGCAAGTAATATCGTCAACGCAATATTAGTCACTGTTATTGCATATCGCAGGTTTTCCTAATACCGTGCAGCCCGACACACAACTAATCCAAAGTGAGCCCAGACTTTAGGACTTGCTGGTGAATCTTTTAATACTTTTCTTTCCCCCGTGGAACTCTGCCACGTTGTCCCTGGTGCTCTTCTTCTTCACCAGGTGTTTTTAGCTCATTGTCATGAGGAGGGCCCCCTAATGGACTTCTGCAGAAGTGGTTAAAAAACAAATTTTGGGGAAAGGCGTACTGGTACTCATTTGTGAGTTGAAATATCACTGTATTTTGTACCTAAGCAGGGAGGCCCAAACTTCCCTCTCCCCAGCCACTTGGGTCAGCTACTCCCGGGGAATCTCAAGGCGTTCCCTGGCCAAGCGAGAGACATAGTCTCTTCAGCGTGCCCTGGGTCTTCCTTTAGGTCTCCTCCTGGTTGGACGTGCCCATAAAACCTCACCAGAGAAGTGTCCAGGTGGCATCCTAATCAGATGCCAGAGCCACCTCAACTGGCTCCTCTCAAAGTGGAGGAGCAGTGGATCTACTAAAGCCGGGCGGACACTGTGCGACTTTTTCACTCGCAGCGTTCAGCTTCAGCTCAAACTGTACGACTTCCTCGCAGAGCAGATCTCACGAGTCATGCGCTCACACTGCACGACCCCGTTCTCGCATGCGACCTGACTGCTCACACTGTACGTCTGGTAGCAACACGTCGGCCCTAAAAATATGCTAAAAATAGCAGTTTTTACTCAACACGTCAGACTTTTTGTCTTGTTTTGCCTGTTGTCCTTCGGGAGTGCTGCAGGAGGACACACAGGGATTTATGGGGGTTGGATGAGGAAAACGAAATAAAGAAAGTAAATCTGTGTTTTGTGATCAGTTTAATTTGACATGAACTCGACAAACACGCTTTCTTGACAATCTTTGTGAGTAAAAAAATGTGTAGAAACAAAAACGAACAGCATGTGTTATTAGGGAAATAACGAGCGAGCGGTGTTGATGCAGGATTGCGCATGCGCCGTGAGCGGTTCTGATACTTTTTGGGTCGCAGCCGCTCGCAGCGCCGCTTCAACAGTGCGATATCCTCACGAGGGACGAGCGAAATTTTAAACACGCCAGAAGTCCCTGCGACCTCACGACTGCTGATCGGTAGCTGGTCACGTGGTGTTACTCGCCTCTCGTAACCCCCTGTACACTACACGGCCGCTCGGCGCAAAACTCGACCCGATGTCGTGGATTCTCGCACGAGTGGAAAATCGGCTCAAAAAAGTGAAAAAGTCGCACAGTGTACGCCCGGCTTGACCCCTACCAGATGACGAGCCTATCTGGGAGAACCTTAGCACCCTGTGGAGAAAACCCATTTTGCTTCTGATCTCATTCTTTTGGTCACTACCCAAATCTCGTGACCATAGGTGAGGTGATAGATTGACCGTTAAATCGAGAGCTTGGGGCCCAATTCCAATACTCGCACTGCGGTTTTCAGCAAAGTGCACTTGGAGAACGTGCACAGTAAGGCTTCGAGTGCGTGGTACACAAGTGTGCAAATAATTGGCTAATTGAGACAGGCAGAATTGCGTCATTGTTCGCAGTGCATGCTGCGATGCTGGTCGCTGTGATACTTTTTTCAAAAACCTTTACCAACTTTCAAACAACCAAACCGTTGTTTGAAATAAATTTAAATTAACTACTGCTTTGTCTAAAACAATCAGAGCATCACATAATCATCCTAAAATTAACTACTTTCATTAGAAAATAAATTTTTTCAGAAAAGGAACTTGAGCCTGTTCACCTGCAGAAATGGATTGTGGGCACTTCACCCACATCGATGCAGACTTGGGTGAAGTGCGGATCAAGGGTGCAAAAGGGGCATGATCAACTTCTGCACTTGAGAATCGGGACACCCTACGTACTCGCCCCCCTGGTCGGGATTGCGCAATTGAAGGGCTCAAGGGTGGAAATTGCGAGTATTGGGATTGGGCCATACTTTCCGGCTCAGCTCTCTCTGATCCCGACCGACCGGTACGATGCCCGCATCACTGCAGATGCAGCACCAAACCGCCTTTTGATCTCGCGCCCCATCCTTCCCTCCCTGGTCACTGGTGCCACTGGCCACCACTAGCAGGCACTGCAGGTTCAGTGTCTTGCCCAAGGACACAACAGCAGCAATATCTGGTTGACCATGGTCTCAGATTTAGAGGGGCTGAATCTCATCCCAGCTGTTTCACACTCTGCTTTGAACCATTCCAGTGAAAGCTGAAGATCACGCTCTGATGAAGCCAACAGGACCACATCATCTGCAAAAAGCGGAGACCTGATCCTCAGGCCACCAAAACAGATGCCCTCCACACGTTGGCTGCACCTAGAATCCTGTCCATTAAAGTTATGAACTATATTGATATATCGTGGATTATGTCAGTGCTTCTCAAATAAGGAGGCGTGAGAGGCTGGAGGACCTAGAATTTTTAGTGTGTTTTTTTTTCATGCTTGAGCAATAACCCCCCTGTCACTAGGTGGCAGCAACGCCCAGAATAGTCAACAGGCTGCCTGTTTAACCCAGATAAAACAGCCTACAAACACGCTGATGTACTGAGCTGATGGAGCAAATGCCAGAGGAGCTGGAGTTAGTGATGGTAGATACAGATGAGACGATAAGACAAAGATTTCATAACCCCGGATTATCTGGGATTGCGGTTAGAAGAGGCATTATGGGTATTTCTGGCTGATGACTGGACTCTTTATTTGGTTCTAAATAAGGAACAGTCCTAAATGTAACATGACTATGTCTGCTACTTAATGTGCAGATCTGGTCAATGTTTGTACATCAGGACTAAAGTAATCTGGTTCCATAATAATAATAATTATTAATCTCAGATTTAAACAAACAACTGTGACATATTTGACTGTGTTCAACGTTTCTAAGTCAGAATGAAGGAGCTCGTCTGTAGCAAGCTGACCCGTCAGCCCTGTATGCATTATGGGTCAACATGTCCCCTCAGGTCTCATCGTTTTATGACTGTTGCTCCAGAAATGTTGTTTTTCATTCTGTGCTTTAGTAAATCTCAGCCCTTTGCATTTCCTGCCCTTGATCCACTTCAGACCAGTTGTCCTGACGTGCATAATCTGTTTGTGTTTGACATGGAATGATTGGGACCAGCCGTGAGATGCAGTGGGGTGAAGACCCAGCCGGACTCGATGTCCCAGAATGCACGCAAAGTGCTTCCACGTAACCTGGGAACCCCCACCGATACCCCCCCGAGCACTTTGCTGATGAACAGCAAAGGCCTGAACCCCAGTCCAAAGAGGGCTATACGAGACCCCAAAACTGGACGAGGTACTGCTCCTTCCTCTCAGCAGCGTCACCCTCTGGCTCTCCCTGTTTTAATGGGCTGTTCTTCCTGTGTTCCAGCTGTCCAGGAGAGAAACTCGTATGCTGTCAGTGTGTGGAAAAGAGTGAAAGCCAAGCTGGAGGGCAGAGACATCGATCCCAACAGGAGGATGAGTGTCACTGAGCAGGTAAGAACCAGATCCCACTTCCTCCTGCACACCCTGCGCTGTCAACTTCAAACTTGATTAGCTTGACAGAGTCGTGGTCAGAGGTGCAGCCGTCAATGTCCCCGGGGGGGGGGGGGGGGGGGGGTTCACAGGATCTTTCCTCAACACAAAACTAGCATGAGGTTTTCAGTCAACAGTGGAAGGTGATCTGTGTGCTACACAAAAACACAACTTTCTATGATGTGGCCCTTTTGAATGTTTGCACTTCAGTGACTCAGTCTTCCACACCAAGTCACCTGTTGCCCTGTAAAGGTCTCCAGGGGCGCCTCCAGAAAATTTTGATAGGGGTGGCCAGATGGGGCCACAGAAATTTTTGGGGTGGCACACCAAATTGGTCCTTGTGGTAACTCTGGTTGAATTTAGTCTGTGGCGATGTGCTGCATTGCACCTTTGTTTTAATTAAAATAACTGTAGGTATCCAAAACATTTAACTGAAATTTTACAAACACAAACATTTTAGAAAAATACTTTTCAGTTATTTAAAATGTTATCCCAAATTTTGTAAAAAAATAATTCTTTTTGGGTTAATTCACATGTTGTTGTGTTAAAAAAAACTATGGAAATAAAAACTTATTTAAAATGGTGAGCAGCAGAAACATGAATTTTTTTTATCCTGGTTATTTCTTAATGCATTAATTGTAATTTTTATTTTGTTTTACAATTATGTCTTGAATAAACAAGATCAATCTATGGTTAGACTGAACATTAATATGATTTGTTAACACTGGTTAACACAATTTTCTAGGGGTGGCCATGGCCACCCCTTGGAGGTGACCTTGAAGGGCTCAGCAGTGAGCTAGGTGTTAGTTGTTTGTAGCCTCACACATCCAGGCTCAGAGGTCAGAAAGCACTTTTAACTGTGCTCCTACTTTTGTTTCAGGTGGACTTTGTCATCAAAGAGGCAACCAACATGGACAACCTGGCCCAGCTGTACGAGGGCTGGACCGCTTGGGTGTGAGCTCTATGCTGCTTCATGTCTTTGGTCCAGAGAAGGCTTGGAGATCCACCAGAGTCCTACGGGACTGGGGTGACGGAACAGCTGTACCGGGCCACCCGAGGGGGAGGAAGTGGGAGGCAGATGCTTAGTCCGCCCTCCTAAACTCCTGGGCATCCAAACTGGGGCAGCGACCTCGTAGCATCGTTGCATCCACACCCCCGCAACCACTGGCGACCAGGCTCACACGGTGCTTAGTGGGCCTGCAGAACCACTTTCCTTTCAGGGGTTTGGTGAGCAAAAACTGGTACCAGAAGGGGGAGGGGGGAAGGAGGGGTAAGGCCTCCTCACCCTCTACTGAAATGCCTTCCCCCCTCACCTGCATATCTCACTATTGTACCTATAAACATCCTACAGTGCCCATCAGACAGCCACGTGAGGGCAGGCTGGAGCAGAAGTGGGCCAGTTCCCTCTGAAGCATATGTGGGGGGGACATGATCTGGGTCCATTTCAGATGGACAGAACATCTCCACGGCCACTTTTTTTCTCTGAAATAATTTTCCTCAGTTGGTGAATCTGATTGGCTGGTGGATGACCTGGTTTGGTATGAAAACGGTTTGAACAGGATTCTTTAGGCGCCACAAACACCCTGACCCCTGTGTCCTCTCTCCTGACCCCTGTGTCCTCTCTCCTGACCCCCATGTCCTCAGTCCCGACCCCATGTCTTCAGTCCCGACCCCATGTCCTCTCTCCTGACCCCCGTGTCCTCGGTCCTGACCCCCGTGTCCTCAGTCCTGACCCTGTGTCCTCAGTCCTGACCCCCGTGCCCTCAGTCCTGACCCCCGTGTCCTCAGTCCTGACCCCCGTGTCCTCAATCCTGACCCCCGTGTCCTCAATCCTGACCCCCGTGTCCTCAGTCCCGACCCCCGTGTCCTCAGTCTCGACCCCCGTGTCCTCAGTCCCGACCTCCGTGTCCTCTCTCCTGACCCCCGTGTCCTCAGTCCCGACCCCCGTGTCCTCAGTCCCGACCCCCGTGTCCTCAGTCCCGACCCCCGTGTCCTCAGTCCCGATCCCCGTGTCCTCAGTCCCGATCCCCGTGCTCTCTCTCCCGACCCCCGTGTCCTCTCTCCCGACCCCCGTGTCCTCTCTCCCGACCCCCGTGTCCTCAGTCCCGACCCCCGTGCCCTCTCTCCCGACTCCCGTGTCCTCAGTCCCGACCCCCGTGTCCTCAGTCCCGACCCCCGTGTCCTCAGTCCCGGCCCCCGTGTCCTCAGTCCCGGCCCCCGTGTCCTCAGTCCCGACCCCCGTGTCCTCAGTCCCGACCCCCGTGTCCTCAGTCCCGACCCCCGTATCCTCTCTCCCGACCCCCGTGTCCTCTCTCCTGACCCCCGTGTCCTCTCTCCTGACCCCCGTGTCCTCAGTCCCGACCCCCGCGTCCTCAGTCTCGACCCCCGCGTCCTCAGTCCCGTCCCCCGTGACCTCAGTCCCGGCCCCCGTGACCTCAGTCCCGGCCCCCGTTTCCTCAGTCCCGATCCCTGTGTCCTCTGTCCTGATCCCTGGGACCTGATCCCCATGTCCTGACTCAGAGAGATGCCATGAGGGACCTGTTCTTCGTTTAGAAACCAGCGACAACGCCTCTGAAGGTCATCCAGTTTGAAAGAGTAAAATCTGAGAAGGCGGTCCATTTCTCAGTGATAATTTGTTTATTAGTAGATAAACTGAAACATCACGCCTCTTGACCCGGGCTCGGTTCTGAAAGGCTCGTCGGTGAGCCAGAAGTAAAACCAGTAGCTGTCAAGGAGGCGAGGAGGACCTGTTAGTTTTTCCTTTAGTCCGTGCTGTGCTCTGTAACTATCTGTAGGAGTAGTCTTTATTTTCTTTTCAACCTGCCTGTTGCATTTTATAAATCTGGATTCTTCTACTTTTAAACTTTTATTCTGGAAATATTCTTTGTGGTGATGGTGAAACGTGTTGCTTAAAGCTTTTATTGAATTTTGTTGGGTGCTGAATAAATGTGGAACTGAGATGTGAAGTGGGTTTTTTTTCCATACATGGTCCATGCACGCGCACACACACACACAACCTGCTTTCACTTAGCTGATCTGTCTGTCGTGGATTTTATCAACACTTTGACTGAAGGGCTCAAAGGTCGCAGGCAGCGGTCGCCGTTTCAGAACATGAACAAACGTGGGGTAAGAAGTCCCAGCTGATCCAGAGTCAGCATTGCTGTGTTAATCTTGTGTAAACTGGGCATCGCTGAAACTTTGCAGGATCTCACGGATGGCTGCAGGTCCACCGACCCTCCTGCAGGTTAATGATTACTGCAGCTTGGCTTATTTACTGATGATCCCGATGCTGCACATTAGGAGGAAGCAGACATGTCAGGGCAGTGTGTGTGCGTCTCAGACTTCGAGAAGGAGGCCAAGAGAGTTCTTCCTAAAGCCGTGTACGACTACTACCGCTCAGGAGCTGATGAGCAAAGCACACTGGCTGATAATGTGGCAGCCTTTAACAGGTACATTTCACACACACACACACAGTGTCTGCTATAGTTAAATCATGACAAAGCAGCTGCTAAACGATTGACTGGAGCCATATTCTATGTAAGAAAATGTGTACCATAAAAATGCAACAGTAGAAATGGCTTTTTCATTTTCACATTACTACTGGTAAGTTATGTAATCAAAACAAAATCCTTTTCTTTTTCTTTAACATCGCTCAGTCTTTGACTTGTAGAATCCTAGAACGCACTGGCCATTTACAATTTTCTTTTGCATTGACCATTTATGGCATGCAATATCAGTTTATAATGCTGAATTATGCATACAGAGTGTTTTATGGGTTCAAAAAATACGTCGCATAAGTTTTATTTTGCTGAGCTTAAGAGGAGTTCTAGTAAGGATTCTAGTCAAAGGGCTTTTCTGGACATTGATCTATGAGAGCCTAGGCTACAGGAGTTGCGCATAAAATCTTGATATTTTTCCCACACATTTGACCCACATCTGATATTTTTACGACAGTCTGAACGGCACAGACCTGATATATATTATATATATGTATATATTTTTTTCATGCGATCTGTGTCACTTGATACTGATTCGATGCATATCCGATGTTTTTGGGAGGGACTGCAGTCTGAACGGTCATGTCGCATTAAATCCGTCTCCCACATGAGTCAGCATTGAAACCAGTTCTCTAAACTAACTTTTGGGTTTCAATGCATGTAAACTGGGATTTTGCCGTGGAGCATACTCCCTGTTTACCGGTGTCATTTAGGACACTGTTGTGAAAATCAAGTTCATCAGGAAATCCGGGATTTGCACATTGTCCGTATTAGTGCAGAGGGCATCCATGTAAATTGATTTGAGGTTCCAAAATTAAATGAGACAGTGAATTAGATGCAGATAGGCAGAGGTGACCATTGATTGAGAGGAGAAAATGTTCCATGGTATGAAGTTCATCAGCTGAACAGTTAGCAGGGATGTGCAAACATTGTGAGAATCGAGGTCTCGGCAGCATCGGTACACAAATCTTATAAGATACCGGTGTAAGAAAAACACTCATAAAGAACAACCCCAAAAAGAGACGGCAGAGCGCAGATGTGTGATTAGAGGGTCACATGCTGCTTGGTTTTAATTGGTCAGTTTGTTTGTTGAAGCTGCCAGATGGTTTCTGGGAGAAACAATTGGTGGTCATGCAAGTGGGGAGTGCAGCAGTCAGTCACTGAAGGACCTTTGACCTTGGAGAAGGTCAGAACAGTGGCTTTAGAGAAGCAACAGTTTTCAGTCTGATGATGGTTACAGGTAAATGACAATCAACTTGGACTTCAACATTCCACCAAAAACCATTCACTGACCTTCGGACAGACTATACCACAGTAGAGGTTACTTACCCATAATGCACAGCAGCACATTAGGAGATAACCAAACTCAGCAAATCAGTCATCAAGTGTTAGTCCAGCTGATGGTTGAAAAGTGAGAAGAAAAAAAAACCACTGAAGACTTTTTTTCATGAGGACCGTTAAAAAACGGTGACCTTGCGCAGCAAGATGAATTCTCGCGAGATTTGGAGTTCTCTTAACATTCGTTTCGATGTCTCACTATGGGATACGCCCCTCCTCGGATTCCTCAGAAGCACTTATCTCAATACGCCAATCCTGATTGGCCAGTGACCGTGACATACGCGTCCCCTGCTACTATAAGTAGCAAGCGTCCCAACGCACGCACCATTCAATCACCTCTTCTCGCTTCGGTGGTTGCTTATCTCTCAGGTAAGTTAGCTCAACCGTTCACAGACGGAGCCAGCTAATATTCTCTCCGTCGCCGAACGTTAACTTACTGTCCTCCTGTCCTGACCTTCACCATAGGCTCGGGGCATAGCGAGCAGCTTCACACTCCAGTGCACCTGTTCGTTCTCTTGCTAACACACCAGTTAGCCCACATGGAAGCCGCTCCTCCCACCAGAGGAGTCGACGGCGCAGGAGCTCGCCTCTGTACCTGTGGGAACAAAATCTCGAGCAAAGACCCGCACAAGGTCTGCTCAAGCTGCCTTGGGCTGGAACACGCCCAGCTGGCATTGGAAGTCCCGGGGTCATGTGAGAGCTGTGCTTGCTTCACCCTGAAGAGCCTTCGCCGGCGGCTAGCGCACCAAGCTAGCCTGTCCGGGAAGGACCCTTGCCTGCCGGCCCCATGGCCACCGCCTGGGGACGCCGGCAAACATGCCCTCCCCGAGCCGGAACCGTGTGCCGAACACAGCTGGGGCTCACAGCTCGAACTGGCCGTTCCGAGCCACCCCGTCGAGGACGTGTTGGAGTTGGACTACTGAGACGATGAGGACACCTCGGAACTCCTCACTTCAGAGGAGGACGAGGATGACGACGTTTTTCTCCCCATCGCTCAGGCCTCCATGCGTAGCTTTCCGTCCTCTCCCAGGGATGGAGTGGTTTCTCCGGCCGCCCACCTGAACATGCAGTCAGTCTGCCGACGCGCTGCGACCAGGCTCAACATCCCTTGGCCCACCGTGGTCACTGAAGCTGTCAGATCCCGCTACGAGGGAAAGAAGCTGCCTCAGGCCACAAGGGCGGCAAAGCCCCTCCTTCCCGCCTTCCCGGAGCTTCTCCAAGAAGTGAGGTCCTCCTGGGACAAACACCATTTCAGCTCCAGGTCTCCTGTCCAAGGAGCCTCCTATCGCTGGACTTCGAGGGGATGGAGAAGGCTGGCATGCTTCGCATGCTGCCGATGGAACCGCTGGTTGCAGCCCACCTGCACCCACGACTCTCGGCAACTTCCTCCAGGCCTCCCGCTCTCCCTGCAAAAGCGGACCACTTCCAGTCGGTGCTGAACGAAGGGCGTACAAGGCTGCCGCCATCTCAGTCCGAGCTTTGAATGTCTCCTCCATGCTCTCGGCGTACCAAGCCGAGCTCTGTGAGGACATGAATACGAAGCTGGACCCGGAGGTGTGGGAGGAAATCACCGTACTGACCGACATCTGCCTGCGTGTGCAGCGCTGCGCGGTCCAGGCTACGGCTAAAGCTATGGGCATGATGGTGCTTCAAGAACGTGCACGATGGCTGAACCTCACCAACCTCTCTGATAGAGAGAAGGAGGACATTTTGGACACGCCAATCGTGCCTGAAGGCATTTTTGGCTCTGCTTTGGCATCAATGCAGCAACGGTGTGAGGCCAAAAAGAAAGAGGATGAAGCCTTCAACTCTGCCTTCCCCGTAAGCCTTCACCTGCTCTGCCGGCTCGGCCGACCCTTCCTCAGGCAGCTGCCCGAGCCCAGCCTCCGTTCCGGATCCCAAAGCGCCCGAAGCCTCAAGCAGTCCAACCAGCTCCTTCGGGCTCAGCGCCTCGACCAGTTTGGCCTCAGAGGTCCGGCAACCAAGCTGATCCGCCGCCGGGACAACCCACCCGACCCGGCAGTCAGCAGGTGAGAAAGAAGAAGAGAGCAGCCTGACTGAGTTCTTTCCCTCCCGACGCTGCAGCTGGCAGTTCCCCGTTCGCCAGCTCCTCCTGTTCGATGTTGCCATGGTGCTTTCTCCCCCCCCCCCCCCCCCCCCCCTCACGGGACCCCTCCGGCAGAGTCCCAGAGCGGTTCAGGGTGGGGCTAGGATGTGCAAACGGCTATGCCGGCTCAAAACACACGTCACAAGCACTCACTTTGTTTTTTACAAACATGTCGCGCTCAAGGGCGCAGCAAAAATCAATAAAAATTTTGCCCATGAGCGGTTCCAGGCGTGGGGCGGCCCCGGGCGGACTTTCCCGCCAGCCACGGGTTGTCCCCGTACGCCAGGGCCGCCAAAGCACAAAGCCCCCGCGCATGCACCACTGCCCCATAACCTCTGGAGGGAGCTGCTGCTCCGTGTGTCACGGCTGTGTCACCGCTCTCCACTCACATAGAGGAATGGACAGCGGTTTCTGCTTCACATTGGGTGCTAAGAACTATTTCGAGAGGTTACAGGCTCCATTTCGCTTCAGTTCCTCCTCGATTCTCCGGCGTAGTGTTCTCCCACGCCAAGGGGACATCAGCTCACATCCTTCAGGGAGAAATCTCCTCCCTGCTAGAGAAGGTAGTGATATGCATTGTACCTCCCTATCAGTCTCAGAGCGGTTTCTACTCCAGGTACTTCCTGTGGGCTGCGCCCCATGCGGTTACACACGCTGGCACGCAGACTGATCCTATGGTGCAGCAGGCATCTCCTCTCAATCAGAGCCACCCACGTCCCAGGTGTTCTGAATCGGGGGGCGGATCTGTTGTCCAGAGGGACACCCCTGTATGGGGAATGGAGCCTGCATCCAGCAGTGTTGGAACAGATTTGGATCCGGTTCGGCACAGCTGTAGTGGATCTCTTTGCCTCCAAGGAGAATGCTCAGTGTCCACTGTTTTTCTCCCTGCGCGACCGAGATGCTCCACTCGGCGTGGACGCGCTGGCGCACGACTGGCCACGGGGACTGCTTTACGCTTTTCCCCCAGTGGCCCTGATACTACCCACCTTGCTGAGGGTACGAACCCAGTGCCACACTCTCATTCTGGTGGCCCCATACTGGCCAGCCATGCATTGGGTGGCGGACATTTTCCAGCTCCTGGAGGGCCAACCTTGGAAACTGCCGCTTCGCAGGGACCTGGTGTCCCAAGCGGGAGGCTCAATCTTCCACGCTCATCCAGAACGGCTGGCCCTGTGGGCCTGGCCCTTGAGGGGTGCGGGCTAGGGTCAGCAGAGCTGCCCCAGGCAGTCATTCGAACCATTCAGAATGCTAGGGCCCCCTCCACTAGGTCCCGATGTGACAGTGTGAGCGTCCTGTCACAATGTCCCGATTGATCATGCGCCCTGGCTACTTGGCCAAGGGGATGTCCCTTTGGCTGATTGGTTAGAGCGTATGACTCTCACCCGGGAGTCTGGGGATCGAGTCCCGCCCGGGCCCTCGTTTATCCACCTTGCCACATTTGGCGTTGTTGGCAGGATCCATGTAGTACTGTCAAGTAGGTCCATGGATGTGAAGTTTGTGGCACCCTGCGCGGGAGCACGAGGACGTGCTCGTGGAAAGAATGGGAAAGATGTGACAGTGTGAGCGTCCTGTCACAATGTCCCGATTGATCATGCGCCCTGGCTACTTGGCCAAGGGGATGTCCCTTTGGCTGACTGGTTAGAGCGTATGACTCTCAACCGGGAGTCTAGGGATCGAATCCCGCCCGGGCCCTCGTTTATCCACCTTGCCCCACCTATATGACTGTAAATGGAGGTTGTTTGAAGCCTGGTGTCAGGTCAGGGAGGTCTCACCCTTCCAGTGCCCTGTGAACGTCATTCTGTCTTTCCTGCAAGACTTGTTGGATGGGAAGAAGGCTTTCTCCACCATTAAAGTGTACCTAGCAGCCATTTCCGCCCGATACTTGGGTTTTGGGAAGAAATTGGCAGGTCAACACCCCCTGGTGTGTAGCTTCATGAGGGGCGCGCGCAGGCTTCTCCCTGTGTCTCGACCCCTTGTGCCCTCATGGGATCTGTCCTTGGTGCTGTCGGCCCTCTCCGGGCCTCCATTTGAGCCTATGGACGGCCTGGACCTTAAGAGCCTGTCTCTTAAGGTGGTGCTACTCCTGGCTTTGGTATCTGCAAAGCGAGTTAAGCCTGGTTTATGCTTCTCCGTCAGCTCCGCAAGGGACAGGCACGCACGGATTGACGGAAGCGTTTTGCTCTCATACTTCTCCGTCTCCTGGAGAGTGTTGCAAAGCAATATCCTGGCACGACCACAGAGGGCGTAGCGCTGTTCTGTGGTATCATGTCATGTATCCGGTCCAAGATCGTTTGTTTATATTGTGTTTTTTGTGTATATAAGAGACTTTTAACACGGACATATTTGTCTCTGATTCTCCCACCGCTTCATGCGCTCCCCACCTCTAAACCCACGTTTCCTGTCATTTCCGTCCACAAATAAAACGCTTGCTGCGCATCTTTTCACTCCTCCAGTCACGGGAGAATTAAACGTTCATATTTTTAGAGTTTTTTCGCGAGGCATTCTTCAAGCTTCTCTGTGTCTGCCGCTAGTTAAACTCAGCTCTCTTTGCAATGGCGGCGCTGTAAACAACAGCGGCGTCCTGACCAATCACAAGCTTGCGTAATCCGTTTCGTTCGACGGATGTTTAAAAAAGTGGGCTCGACTCCGTACGTACTTGCGTGCCTGCCGGATCCCTACGCAAGGTCGGATAATGGCGTTGCGTGTGCTCCGCACTGACGCAGACGGAGAAGCATAAATCAGGCTTTAGTGACTTACAGGCTCTCTCTGTGCACCCATCCTGCACCCAGTTTGCACCAGGTGACATGAAGGTGTCCTTGAAGCCCAACCCTGCCTTTGTGCCTAAGGTAGTGGGCTCCTTTTCTCCTATTATCCTCACAGCTTTCTACCCACCGCCCTTCTCCTCTCCTGGGGAGGAGCGGTGGCACAAGCTGTGTCCGATTCGCGCGCTCAAGGAGTATGTGAATCGGACGGAGAACCTTCGCAGGGGGGACCAGCTTTTTGTGTCATGGGGTGGGCCTCGTAAGGGGAAACCCGTCACAAAGCAGCGGCTCTCCCACTGGATTGTGGAGGCTATTTCTATGGCTTACTCCTGTCAGGGCATTCAGGCTCCTGTTGGGCTCAGGGCCCATTCTACTAGGGGCCTGTCTGCTTCTTGGGCCCTTTTTCGGGGGCTGTCAATCCAGGAGATTTGTGCTGCAGCAAGTTGGGCTTCTCCACTTGCATTTGCACGCTTCTATAAGCTTGATGTTTCGGTCCCTGCAATGACTCACACGATTCTGAGTGTGGGGTCTTTGGCGGGCCAAGACGTATCCCTGTAGGTTGGTGATCGCTGGATAAGCTGTCTGGCAATACGGGAGTCTCCATATCCCATAGTGAGACATCGAAACGAATGTTAAGAAAGAGAACTTTAGGTTACTATCGTAACCCCGGTTCTCTGAGTAACATGAGTGAGATGTCTCACCAGACAACCCTTCTTGCTGGGCGAAGCGAGAAGAGGTGTTTATCTTGAATGGTGCATGCGTGGGGACGCTTGCTACTTATAGCAGCAGGGCACGCGTACGTCACGGTCACTGGCCAATCAGGATTGGCGTATTGAGATAAGTGCTTCTGAGGAATCCGCGGAGGGGCGTATCCCATAGTGAGACATCTCACACATGTTACTCAGAGAACCGGGGTTACGATAGTAACCTAAAGTTTTCCAAACTCAAGAGAATGTGTTGACTCGACATGGGGGCGGGGCTACATACAGAGATCTGGCTGCCAGGTCAACAAAACAGATCCCAAAAAACGTAAAACCCGTCTGACTGAAACAGCAGTGTTGTGCATGAATAATAAACCTGTGTGTGTGTGTGTGTGTGTGTGTGTGTGTGTGTGTGTGTGTGTGTGCACATGCGCTCAGATGGCACCTTATGCCTCGAGTCATGAGGGACGTGTCCATTGTGGATCTGTCTGTAAACGTGCTGGGCCATAACCTCAGCATGCCTCTCTGTGTTGGAGCCACAGCAATGCAGAGGATGGCTCACCCTGCCGGAGAGACAGCTACAGCAAGAGGTACACACACACACACACACTCACAAACACACACTCATGCACTTTAGATGAGGAACTGGTGGAGTCCATTTTCAGAGTAGGAAAAGGTCTTGAGGATGTAGCGTTAACGATTAACTAACTAGATATACAAGTGATCAATAAGATGTGATATTCTATATAAATATCAATCTGATTGGTCTTGGAATGTTTAATCAGAAGACTTTAGTTTCTTTGACTTCAGGGAACACACCCTTCCCAAGAATAGAGTTTATAAAATCGATTTTAATTCTATTTCCTAAACTAAATGATTGTTCATGACAAAGTATGAATGAAATGATGGTTGTGCAGGTAACCGAGGATGAATGAAGTGGTGGAATGTGAGCATGCTGTTTTAGCAGAACCTTGTATCTGAGAGAGAGAGATTGTGAAGTCTGGGTGGGAAAATCTGTTTGGCTCTATGGTTTGATAAGCTAGAGCGTTGTTTACAAAACCGTCCGACGCAGTGGCGCAGTCGACACACCCTTTGTGTGACGGTTGCCCATCGGCGGTCCGGACGAAAGCGGCCCGAGTGGTGAGTTTCCCCGTACGTCGAGACCACAGGAACCCAAAGAGACACATTTCCTTTTGAATTCAGATTTCTAGTCCAGCCGTGAGCTGCAACAGGGTCTGCTGGTTAGATGTCCGTCTGAGGTGCTGGTGGCTCTTAAAAGAGTCGTTGTGTCTTAAATCACTCGCCAGTGTTGCAGAGAGGCTTTGACCTTGGGGTCAAAAGAGAGGATGGTCTCAAAATACTGGCTCACCCGACTGGCCAAACCAGATGGCTGCTGAAGAACTAATGAATCAGGAAGTGATTCCTGTATTCATCAACTTTTGTTTATGAACTTAGACAAGCCAGAATTTGACCCAATTAAGAGGGCGTGAACAAAGACCTCAGTAACTCACTCAGATGCTCAGAGGTTACGTCTTAGTGTGAAGTGAATGTTATAACGGTTATGTGAAGCAAAAACCTTAATAGTCGTATTATGATGTGTTGGATAGATTAACATTAAATCCACAAGCACTAATCTGGTGTAATTTCAGATTCATTTTAAACGCATCATTGATTTATGCACACATTATCAAACACTTTGGAGTTAAACAAGAGAAAGTCATTCATGATTCAAGGAAGATTAACTTTGTTCAGAGTGAAAGTGCAGAAAGTCTCGTCTTCCAGCACTTATTATGCCTAACTTACTTAGTTGTAGATCATTGCTTTTCTTGTTTGGAGGCCAGACGGAGGTAACGCGTCCCTGGATGTGTGACGCAGTTTGTGTCTGGCGTAACGTCCAGAAAGGGTCAATTTTCACCTACAACTCACATCCAAACCCATCCTAAACTCTTCTGGTTAAAAATTCAAAGATCAATCAGGTTGATATTTCATATTTATATGGACCCATCACATCTTATTGGTCATAATTAAATATGCAGTCGTTACTCTATAAAGTGTGATGCTACACTGGAAATTAAAAGTAAATTTCTGGTCATTTTTTATGTCGATACTCGGCTTTTGGTACGTTACAAGGAGAATCTATTTGAAACATCTGCTACAGAAGCTGATTACACTTATGTTCCCAGCATGCAAAGCAGTAGGAACCGGAATGATGCTGAGCTCCTGGGCCACCTCGAGCATAGAGGAAGTGATGTCAGCAATGACAGCTACACCAGGTGGCAGTGGGGCCCTATGGATGCAACTTTATATCTACAAAGACCGAGAGCTTACACTGTCTCTGGTGCGCCGGGCAGAGCGGGCGGGCTACAAGGCTATCTTTGTTACAGTGGATACTCCGTACCTGGGGAAAAGGTTGGACGATGTACGCAACCGATTCAAAATGCCTCAGCATCTGAGGTAGGAAGCCAGTTCCACACGCAATTCACCTATCAAGCCCCCCATGTAGCTGGTGGCCCCTTGGGTTTTTACCCCTGCCTCTGTGTGTGTGTGTGTGTGTGTGTGTGTGTGTGTGTGTGTGTGTGTGTGTGTGTGTGTGTGTGTGTGTGTGTGTGTGTGTGTGTGTGTGTGTGTGTGTCAGATTGTCAAACTTCTCCACGGCTGCCCTGGCCTTCTCTGAGGAGGACTACGGCAGTGACAGCGGTCTGGCTGTTTATGTTGCTAATGCTATTGAGCCGGCTCTGAGTTGGGATGACATCACATGGCTGAAGAAGCACTCACACCTGCCTGTGATTGTTAAAGGAGTACTTAATGGTAACACTCACTCACTCACTCACTCACTCACTCACTCACTCAGTCACACCCATTAGATTCTTAGTGAAGCCTGTTTGCAGTGATAATTCAGGTGGATGAACTTACACGCGTGGACAAAACAGTTGGTGCCCTTCAGTCGAAGAAAGAGAAACCCACAGTGGTCACAGAAATAACTTGAATTTGACAAAAGTAATAATAAATACAAATTCTATTAAATTAAACCAGTGAAAATCAGACGTTGCTTTTCAGCCGTGCTTCAGCGGAATTATTAAAAACAAACTCGTGGAACAGGCCTGGACAAAAATGATGGTACCACTAACCTAATATTTTGTTCTACGACCTTTTGAGGCAGTCAGACGATTCCTGTAACTGCCACTGGGACTCCTGCACCTCTCAGCAGGTATTTTGGCCCACTCCTCATGAGTAAACTGCTCCAGTTGTCTCAGGTCTGAAGGGCGCCTTTTCCAGACGACGTTTCAGCTTCTTTCTAAGATGCTCAATAGGAGGTCAGGGTTCACAGAAGGCCACTTCAGAATCGTCCGATGTTTTCTCGAAGCCATTCTTGGATGATTCTAGCTGCGTGTTTTGGGTCGTTGTCCTGCTGCAAGACCCACGACCTGTGACTGAGACCAAGCTCTCTGACACTGACCGCCACATTTATCTCTAGATGGTCTTGAGATGTCATGGTACCCTGCACAGATTCAAGACACCCAGTGGCAGATGCAGCAAAGCAGCCCCAGATCATGACAGAGCCTCCTCCGTGTTTCACAGTAGGAACTGTGTTCTTTTCTTGATGTGCTTCATTTTTCTGTCTGTGAACGTGGAGCTGATGAGCCTTGGTATTCCAGTCTGGCTTTGTTATGATTTGTTTCCAACAATGGTGTCCTCCTTGGTCGTCACCTTTGTAGTCCACTTTGGCTCAAACAACGACGAATGGTGCGATCTGACTGTGATGTTCTTTGAACTTGAAGTTCACTTTAGATCTCTTTAGAAGTTTTTCTGGGCTCTTTTGTTACCATTCAGATTGTCTGTCTTTTTGATCCGTTTTTCCTCAGCGGCCAGGTCCAAGGAGGTTGGCTACTGTCCCATGGATCTGCGGTTTCTGAGTAATGTGTTCAGCTGTAGACACACGAACATCTAGCTGCTTGGTGATGGTCTTCTAGCCTTTAACATGTTTGTCTATCATTTTCTTTCTATTCTTCTGAGACAACTCTTTCCTTTGCTTCCTCTGGTCCGTGTTGAGTGTGGTACTCACCAAGTCACCAAACAACACAGTGACTACCTGCCCTATATAAAGGCCCACTGACTAATCCAGGGTATCCGCGGGTCCTTAAAAAGTCTTAAAAAGTCTTAAATTGGCTTTTCCAAATTTAAGGCCTTAAAAATCCTTAAAAATGACAAATAATCCTTAAATACAGTTTCCAGAGGTCTTAAATTACCAAAGACCCAATAAACAAGATTATTTTATTTCTATAAAATTTTCATGAATTTCTAGTCAGTGTTCAGCATTTTTTGTGTATGATGTTGGCGTAAGTGGAACCGTACACATTCAGTTGGTTGTGAAAGGGGGCTATTTTTAGATGAGCACATTAGCTGGTTAAGCTAGTGGGAGCTTGCGCCATGGGGAAGTGCAAGTTTAATGGTAACTGGATGGTTAATCCCAAGTTTGCGACGTGGTTAGCACCGGTTCCAGGCAATAGCTGGAAATTATAGCTTAAATTTAATTTTAAAAAATAGCTTAAATTTGGTCAAAGTGGCCTTAAAAAAGGTCTTAAAAAGTCTTAAATTTGGCTCCCATAAACCTGCAGATACCCTGTAATCACTGACTGTGATGCTGACTAGTGGACACACCTTGAATGAACACGTCCCTTTTGTCACATTATTTGATTTATTATTACTTTAGTCAGATTTGAGTTATTTCGGTGACCATTGTGGACCTTTCTATCAGTGACTGAAGGGTACCAACACTTGTTCACGTCTGCAGCTGCAGCTCCATGATTGTGTTGTAGATCTGCTGCTTGGATTATGGTTCTGCTTCATGACCCGGTCTGTTCCGTACCTGAGCTGTCAGACAGTCTCTAGGACACTCTGGTGTCTCGAGGAGTTCTTGGTGGACTCAGTGAGTCATGCAGCTAAAGAACCAGCCCAAATCATCGGCCCTCAACCACCATGCTGACAGCTGGGCTCAGCTGTTGTTGCTGACAATCTGATCTGGTTTACTCCAAGTGCATTATGGGTAAACGTCTCTACTTAAGTTCTGCTGTTTCCAGCCTGAGCTGAGCTGCTGCGACCTATGACCTGCTAACTTAGTAATCAGAGGGAGCTCTTGGGCAATTGATGTTGTTTGTCTGAGCGTTGACCTCTGACCTCAGGGTGAACCTGTTTCAATGTCCACTCCTGGGACGATCAGCAGCACCTAATCTTACTCTCTGTGGACTTCATGTGGTTAAATAATGACCTGCAGCAACAGATGGTTTATGTCCTCCTCGGGCTAACTCTGGATGGATGTGTAAGGAAAGAAAACTGAGTACAGAGATAACTACAACATGATGTCCCACATTTTAATTGGTGTTCAAAAGTCACCTAGATTGTATCCAATAAACATATCTGTCTACCACATCTCCACTTGTCTGAATGACTCCAGGTCCAGATGCTGTCCAGGCTGTCCACTACGGCGCTGATGGCATCCTGGTGTCCAATCATGGAGCTCGACAACTTGATGGGGTTCCTGCAACGGTGTGTGTGTGTGTGTGTGTGTGTGTGTGTGTGTGTGTGTGTGTGTGTGTGTGTGTGTGTGTGTGTGTGTGTGTGTGTGTGTGTGCACGCGTGTGCGTGAATACAGGTGAAACTGGAAAAAATAGAATCTGGTGCATTAATGTCAGTGATCCAACCTAAAAGGTGAAACGAATCTATGAGACAGACTCATTCCAGGCAGATCCAGATGTTTCAGCCTTTATTAGTTCTAACTGAGTCGATCATGGTCTACAGATGATCAGAACCCACATTCAACATCTCAATCAGAACGTTGGTTCAGTTCTCTAGACTCAGTGTCACACTCTGATCAGCTGATGAATCCAGAACACCTGCAGAGGGCTCCTGAGCCTTTAGATGGTCTCTCGGTCTGAGCTGGATTACTGACACCCTGACCGGTTTCTCCTGTACAAATGTTTAAACAAGTGTGTGTGTGCGTGTGTGTGCGTGTGTGTGTGTGTGTGTGCGTGTGCGTGCGTGCACATGCAGCTGGATGTGTTGGAGGAGGTGGTGGAGGCGGTGCAGGGTCGCTGTGACGTCTTTCTGGATGGAGGTGTGAGACGAGGGACAGACGTCCTCAAGGCCTTAGCTCTGGGGGCAAAGGCGGTCTTCATCGGGCGCCCGGTGCTCTGGGGTCTTGCCTGTCAGGTGAAAAGCTCTGATCCATCACAAGAGGCTCATCTATGATCACTCTGAGACACAGAGTTTATTAGCTTACCCGACTAAACATGACTGGTTGGTCTAAAAAGAGAGGGAGGTCACTAATCAGACCCACTGGTGTGTTTTATGAGTCACCAGGGAGAAGAAGGAGTCGTTGCTCTTCTGGAGCTTCTAAAAGAGGAACTCCGACTGGCTATGGCCCTGTCAGGTACCGCACACCAACAGAAGCAACTGATCATAACTATACTGCCACCACCATGCTTTGGTGTGTAATGAAAGAGGTTTGGTCTGAGCAGCATCTCACTTTCACTCATTTGACCAGTTTGTGAAGAATTCCAGGCTCTTTCAGACAAATTTATATTCTGTCTGGCTTTTCTTCTCATCCTTTTGAAGTCTTCAGCCAGTGGTAGTAGGTCTAGTCACCTTTAGGCTGCCTTTCACACCAAAAGGTTCCTAGCTCATCCTCGGTTGTGCAACATGGTGCACATAACAGTTTCTTCTGATTAGAAAGCGCTGATGTTTTATCAGGTGCACTCTTGTTTACAGACTCCTTTAAACTCAGGAACTCACTCAGGTGCTTCAACAAGCTAGATGTGTGACCAGGTGTCACAAAGGAGGGAAGGTGAACATGTTTGAGTATTGATAAGTGTGTGTGTCTGTGTGTGTGTGTGTGTGTGTGTGTGTAGGTTGCCGTTCTGTATCAGAAGTAAGCAGATCCTTGGTCAGGAAAGTGGACTTCACCTCCAGGATGTGAGAGAAGATGCTGCTGTGTGGTTGATCATCAGGAACGATACGTTCTCATTACGATTCGTAACGTTGTTTGTTACAAGTGAACACAACAGTAGGAACAACAAAAATGATTTTTAAATCCAACCCACTGTGGCCCTCTACTAAACCTGAGATACACACACACACACACACACGTGCACACACACACACGTGTGTGTGCGCGTGTGTGTGTGTGTGTGTGTCTCTGAACATCACATTATGTTCAACATGGATTAAATGTTTTGTGTTCCTCCGGTACTCAGTCTTTCAGCTGACCTAAATATGGACCTGTATTGGAATGTTTATTATGTGAAGAGCCTCGAGACGACTCTTTTTGTGATTTGGCGCTTCATGAATAAACTTGAATTGAATTGAATTTGTTTTTAAGGCCTTTTAAGGTAGAAATAAAATTGTTTAAGTAATTTAGAAGGAGAGGGTAGCTTTCCTCAGCCTTCGTGTGGGGGGACGGGTCCTGACTGTGGTTTGCTGCAAACTACAGCTCAGATTACCCACCCTTTTTGGAGTCCCCAGAGAGGGTGCCGGAGGGCGCTCCTTCTGGTGACTCCCTCGTTGTCCTGGGGGACTTAAATGCTCATGTGGGCAGCGATAGTGAGACCCAGAGAGGTGTGGTTGTGAAGAATGGTCCCCCTGATCTGAATCAGAGCTCGTCCATAATGAACACCAAGTTTAAGCATAAAACATAAAACCATATGTGCTCTTGAAGCGGAGCTGTCATCTGACCCCTACCTGGTGGTGAGTTGGCTTCGATGGTGGGGGAGGATGCCGGTCAGACCTGGCAGACCCAAACTTGTTGTGAGGATCTGCTTAGCTCCAATTCTCACCAGCGACAGAAATTCGAACATGTGCCAGGGGAGGCGCGAGACATTGAGTCCGAGTGGACCATGTTCCGCGACTCCATTGTTAAGGCGGCTGACTGTAGCTGTGGCCACAGGGTCATCGGTTCCTATCATGGCGGCTAACCCCGAACCCGCTGGTGGATACTGGAGGTTAGGGATGTTGTTAAGCTGAAGGAAGAGTCCTATCAGGTCTTTTAGCCTGTAGGACTCCAGAGGCAGCTGATGGTTATCACGCCAAGCGGAATGTAGCTCAGGTGGTCGCAAATGCAAAAACCCGGGCATGGGAGGAGTTCAGTGAGACCATGGAGCAAGACTCCCGGAACAGCTCTGCAGTATTGCGTGGACATCTGGGGCAGTTCCACTGGACTGGCCGACCGGCGTGGTGGTCCCCCTATTTAAAAAGGGGGACTGCGGAGTGGGTTCCAACTACAGGGGATCACACTCCTGAGTCTCCCCGGAAAGGTCTATTCAGGGGTTCTGGAGAGGAGGGTCCATCGGATTGTTGAACCTCGTATTCAAGAGGACCAATGTGTTTTTCGTCCTGGCCGTGGAACACTGGACCAGCTCTATACCCTTAGGGGGTCCTGGAGGGTGCGTGGCAGTTTGCGCAACCAATCTACATGTGTTTTGTGGATTTGGAGAAGGCGTTCGACCACGTCCCTCGGGGGGCCCTGTGATATATGGGGTACCAGGCCCTCTGATACGGGCTGTTAGGTCCCAGTATGACCGATGTCAAAGCTTGGTCCGCATTGCTGGCAGTAATCTGGGCTCATTCCCGGTGAGAGTTGGACTCCACCAAGGCTGACCTTTGTTATCAATTTGGTTCATAACTTTTATGGAGGTGCAGCCAAAGTGTTGAAGGGATCTGTTTTGGTGGCCTAAGAATCGGGTCTCTGCTTTTTGCAGATGATGTGGTCCTGTTGGCTTCATCAGAACAGGATCTCCAGCTTTTGCTGGAACGGTTCGCAGCAGAGTGTGAAGTGGCTGGGATGAGAATCAGCTCCTCTAAATCTGAGACCACGGTCTTGAATCAGAAAAGGGTAGAATGCCTTCTCCAGGTGGGTGCTGCGTCTGCAGTGATGCGGGCGTTGTACCGGTCTGTCGTGGTGAAGAGAGAGCCGAGTTGGACGGCGAAGCTCTCAATTTACCGGTCGATCTATGTTCCTACCCTCACCTATGGTCATGAGCTTTGGGTAGTGACCGAAAGAACGAGATCGCAGATGCAAGCGGCTGAAATGAGTTTTCTCTGCAGGGTGGCTGGGCTCTCCCTTAGAGATAGGGTCATCTGAAAATTAAACACATTACATATGGTTCAATTAAGGGTAAATAAATAATAATGTTTGTGTAGATTGTCAGCAATACTTCTACTAAAGGGCCTGTATTTGTATAGCGCCTTCTTAGGGTTTGGCAACCCCCCAAAGCACTTCACAGCACAATCAGTCATTCACCCATCCACACACTGGTGATGATGAGCTACGATGTACATACAGCTGCCCTGGGTGCAGAGACGGGGGCGAGGCTGCCAAGCACTGGTGCCACCGGTCCGTCAGGTAAGGACATAACAGCAGCAATCCCTGGTGGGAGCCGGGATCTAACCCGCAACCTTTCAGTTACTGGACAACCCGCTGGTACAACAACAACTAATACTACTACTACTACTACTACTGCTACTGCTACTACTACTATTACTACTACTACCACTACTACTACTATTACTACTATTACTACTACTACTGCTACTACTACTGCTACTACCACTACTACTACTACTACTGCTACTACTACTGCTACTACCACTATTACTACTACTATTACTACTACTACTACTGCTACCACTACTACCTCTACTACCACTACTACTACTACTACCACCACTACTACTACCACTACTACTACTACTACTACTGCTCCTGCTACTACTACTACTACTACCACCACTACTTCCACTACTACTACTATTACTACTACTACTACTACTATTACTACTACTACTACTACTATTACTGCTGCTGCTGCTGCTGCTACTACTACTACTACTACTGCTACTACCACTGCTACTACTACTACTACCACCACTACTACTACTACTACTGCTGCTGCTGCTACAGATGAGGAAACAGGGTTTCATCTTATTATGCTTTGAATCTGATTGGTGAATTCTGGAAGGAAAAACACAGAAATTGGAAAATTTATAAAATATTATTTTCTGCAACACATTCCAATTAATATTTTATCTTTTATTTGACTGCTATTGTTGCTGTTGGAAAGTGAGAAATTTTGGTGAAAGAAAAAGTGAACTTTAAAAATAGGTGGAAGTGAGCGCACCTGTGGGGAATACATACGCGCGCTTACACACACACACACACAGAGAGTATATATATTCCAGGTACTCTTCAGAATCTAATGAAATCAGAAAAATGGGTGATCCGAGGCACTCTGAGGAGCGTGTTTATTAGAGCAAGAAAAAGCCGACATCCTGTTAATGCCCTGAAGAAGGTCGTATGTGACCCAAACACATCAGCATTTTCATGCTCAACTAAAAACACTTCTCAGAGTGCCTCGGATCACCCATTTTCCTTCCTCATCCATATCCAATGAGAAAGCGAACTTTGAATGATAAATAAATTGTGTTGCAATATATGTTAAGTAGTAAACATTAAATACAATGATTTACTATAATTAGCAGTTTCAAATTTATTTATTAAAACAAATTTTTAGAACTTAAAAAATGCTTCCAGCAGGAGAATGGATTGGCTTCATGAGTGTACTAAACTGTTCCATCCATCCATCCATCCATCCAGAGTTGCATCCAGAGGCGCAGACCTCGCTCTACCCAGCCACGGACAGCAGGTGGCAGCAACACGCCACTGCGGCTCCTGTTCTACTCTGAGACAGAAACGAAGAACTGTGCTGCGTTTGGACCAACCAGAAGCTACAAGATTTTTCAACTTCGTTCTAACTAGAGACATATAAAAAAAGGCGCAGTCGTATTCATACATCACATAGGGTTTATAAGCTATGCTCCGATAGCATATTAAATAAATAAATTGAATTAATAGTGTGTTTTGTGCTTTCTGCGCTCTCGTGTCACCTATCTACACAAATCAACTCACTTAATTCGACGAACTTCCTATTATCGAGGAACGGCAAACGCAGCATTATGTTGTCTTGTATGAGCCCTACCATCGTTGGTGAGTCCCCATGTCCCCTGGTGTTGATGTTACTCATTTAACCTTGTGTGGTTTGATGCTCACCAGTACAATAAACACGTTTATGTGTGTGTGGTTTATACACGCAGACGGAAATATTAGCGGCGTTAGCTAGGAGCTAACTGACGATGTGAGCAGCGGGGGGTGGGTGGGGGGGGGGGGGGGGGGGGTGGAGCCTACAGTTGGCGTGATAAAATGAACCGGGTCCAAACATCTCTATTTATAGTGGTTAACTTGGACACAAGCATGTTTCTGCACAGCGTGTATTTTTCTTCACACAGAACGGTGTTCAATAAACAACTTACAACAGGGGGTGCACATCTGGGCAGGCATGCTCTTTTCGGCACAACACCTGTCCTAACAGACTCTGTTTTCCCATCATGAGTCTGCCTCAGTTCCTTACAACTTTATTTTAATACATTTCCCAAAGATGTGTTACACAATCTGAAGGGTTTAAGATAAACCCAAGTGTTTTACATGTTACTGCTACAGTTCTTTATGATGGTAGTTTGTTTAGGTTCTAAAACCATTTAAAATATGGTCAGAAAAAGCACACTTCAAACGTCATCTTCCCTGAAGAATCTCTTTTCTCTAAACCGTCAGCCTGAGCTTTGGACAACCAGCACCTGATCCAAGGTTTGAGTCACTGGGATTCACCAGACTGGTTGTCTTTCTACCAAAGGAGGTTACCCAAAGGTGTTTAAGGTGCATTATACAAGAAGGAAGTAAGAATGACGTCCCGTGGTCACATGTGGGTACTGCAGTCCATTTTTATAAATAAAACGAGACCTTTTCACTGCACATGAGTTTCAAGGCTGTATCCAGTTACAGATCAGTGCCAAAAGATTCTAGATGATAAACAAAGATGAGTCATACACAGAAAAAGCATTAATATAAGAAGACAACCCATCCAAATTGTCCTTTAAGTTTCACTTTAATTTATTTAGGAAGTACACAATTAAAAACTTGTTTATATTGTGAATATACTTAAAAGTAGCAGCGTTGCTCTTATTTCAAGTTGTTTACTCCCTCAGTATGCAGCTGTGAGCCGTGTTCACATGATGGAGCGGGCAGGCGGAGCCTTCGGCAGTCAGGGTAGCTTTTCTCTGCACAACACCGGTAGCTCCAGCGAAGGAGAACTAGAACCTCCATGTTTTGCAGTCTTTTGACAATTTCTGTTTGTTCATTAGTGCAGCTTTCTCTTTCGGCTGGCTCTGTGTTTTTGTCTGACTTCACTGTGACTGCTGGAGGTACACTGGGGGTTCATGGAGACCGGTGATTTGCTTTTTTGATGCCCGAAGGGAAAAGCCAAAAGTAGCTTGTTTGAAGGCAGCGAATGATGGAGCTGTGTCCAACATGTTGAATGCTCAGTTGCACACATTACAGGTGTTTGTAGCTGTGCCTTTGCTGTCCGGTTTAAAATACCACCAAGGTGCAGATATTTTAGCTCTCCTGAGGAGACGCGTTAGCTCTGTGTTAGCAGGTTTGCTAACAGCGGCACTTGGTGTCTGAGTCCTTGCCTGCCATTAATTGTGTGACGTTACTGTGTTGTTTTCATACAAGAAACAAATATTATTAATGTAGAGGGACTTATTGAGATTTAAACAAAGCCATTTTTATTCAATTTGAAAATCTCAGGATGAATTTAAAAAGTCATGTTTGCTGTTTGTTTTAAAAGGTTAAATCCGATTTTTTTTCTCCCGATTCTGATCCTTCCAATCAAAAACGTGATCGGGTCCGATTTCCAATCGGAAATCAGATTGGAGCATCCCTAGCCTAGTGAACTAGACCAAATTCTTGCTTTGCAAAGTTTGGTCTAGGCATGCTCCATTGGAACCTCTGCAGCTCCTACCAGGACTCTGGCTAGCCAATCACAGCTCTCTAGAGGGGTTTCAAACACATAAAGAGCTGTGATTGGTCCATAATGGTGGGCCAATCATAATGCTCTATCTGCTTAGTGAACAAATCACAGAGCTTTATCCGCTTTGTGGGCCAATCAGGGCACTCTATATGCCTGGTGGGTGGGATGATGCAACAGAGTGAAACGAGGATGTCACATTCATTGTCCAGTGGAATGCGGAGATCATTTGAAAGACAACGGTAGAACCCGCCCCACAACAGAGAGCCGTCAATGGAGCGTGGCCAGACTAAATAATACATTTATTTAGTATTTAAATAATACATTTATTTAGTCTGGCTTGCCAGGCTAGAGCATCCCTAGTTTTTATGGCTGTTTCTAAGCAACTGTTTAATAAACACTCCGTAATCTGTTACCTAATTAAAAGGGATTGCGGTAAACTCCAGTATTGTCTGTTTCAGCTCCTGTTTTAAGCCGTTGATTACTGATCCACTTCTGCCGCCCCAACTTGGTCGCTTTGCTCGGAGAATAACTTGTTGCTCCATCCCAAGGTCATGTCTGAAGACGAGGGGAGATGGGGCTTTCTGCGTGGCTTGACTGAAGCTCTGGAATGCCCTTCCACTAAAAGTTAGGGCCTCTACTTCTGTGGTGGTTTTCAAAGCAAGACTGAAGACTCATTTCTATGATCTGGCTTTTCACTAGTCTTATTCCTTTACGTAATCTGACCTTGTTTTATTCTTGGTTTCTATCTTGTTTTAGCTTGTTTTTAGCTCAGTTGTTTTTTGAATGTTTTTAATCGATATTGTTTTGTAAAGCACCTTGGTGGCATGCCCTCGTCTGTGAGGCGCTATATAAATTGAAGCCAAGTTGAGGTAGAGCGGGTTGTCCAGTAATCGGAAGGTAGCAGATTCAATCCGGGTTCCGGACAGAGAATACCGCTGTCGTGTCCTTGGGCAAGACACTTAACCCACCTTGCCAGCTGATGGTGGTCGGAGGGACCGGTGGTGCCTGTGCTCTGTCTCTGTAGGTGTGCCTCAGGGCAGCTGAGGCTACTTTGTAACTCATCACCATCAGTGTGTAAATTGATGAATGATACTCTGACTTCAAAGGCCCTATACTGTCACGAGTTGGTGTAGGAGGATGATTTAGGACCCAAGATGCAGATACCAGATGAACGAGGCAGAGGTGGAGGATAAAGTAAAAATCCTTTATTAAGGTAGTAGTCCAAAGGCAGGGAGCCAAAAACCAAAAAATCCAAAAATCTAAACTGAGTCATCAAAAACACTAGAGAACTAGAAACACTGGAAGCTAGGAACAGGTATGAGACGAGACTGACAAGAATCACCAAAACACCGCTGACAAACAACAATGGACCGACAAGACACTGAGACAAGACCGGGCTTAAATAAACTGGGGCATGATGGGAAGCAGATGAGCTGCAGGTGTGTGGGGAGAGGACCAGGTGAAAGCAATACTTAATCAGGGAGGGAACTCATATGACCTAAGAAAAAACCTAAAAACAAGAAAAGCAACCACATAACTAATATTCTAAAGGGAAGGAGAACTACAAAGACTGGTGGGACAAAACATATAAAAGAGACTAATAAAATGAAAAGCTGAAACTATAAACACTGCAGAGGGATGACTGGAGAAGACTTAAAGGAACACAGGACCTGAGAGATATATTTGGAAGGCTGAAGACCAGGGGACAAATGAGGAACACAAAGAGACACATAAATGAGATGCAGACAAAGGACACATGAGGGCGCTATGAAACACAAAAGGAGAACCTGGAGTGGGAACTGGAGGGGCTGGGGAACAAAGGGACACAGAACATAACATATACAAGTGCGGGTGGCTTTGTCCGGATTAAAGTGACTGTAATAACCGTAGACCGCTAGAATTGCGGAAGTTTAATACCCAGTCAACAAAGTAAGTTGCGTTCTGTGCAGCGCCGGCTGCTTCTTGACCCCCATCTGCATTTAGTGACGTAGATGCAACATCATGTGAAACTCAGAAATGTTGAAGCGTTGTTTGCTGCTGAGGGACTCTTAAAGAAAGTAAAACGCCACAACTGATTTATTATTCACTTCACACATACATTTCACTGTAATATTCAGTTGTTATTGTAATTGTATGCCATTGTGACCATTGTATTGTAATTGAAAAAGTAGCTTGAGCTATTTTTAGAACGGCCTACTTGCTCCTAATTCGTCGTTAGCATTTTTAGCCCAACATTAGCCTCTAGTCTTCTCCCCTGATATTAGAGTAAAACAGAAAGATGTTGTGGATTCTTAGGAGTACAAGAAAGAACTTCTGGATTTCATGTTTTGGTTCTTTAAACAACTCTGGAGCTTTTGCCTGCTGGTGTTAAATCACAAATGCAGGTGCTGCAGCATTAGCTCAGTAAAGACTCAGCAACCTCACAGGCTTACTGATTGTCAACAGCTTTTTTGAAATGGGAAAAACTGACAACCCCCCAGTCGGCCGAAGACCACAGGCAAAGTTCAAGTTAAGAAAAATCTCAGATAAACAGAAGAGAAGAATGGTGAGGACAGTCAGAGTCAACCACAGACCAGCACCAAAGACCTACAACATCCTCTTGCTGCAGATGGAGTCACTGTGCATTGTTCAACTATTCGGTGCACTTTACACAAGGAGATGCTGCATGTGAGAGTGATGCAGAGGAAGCCTTTTCTCCACCCACAGCCCAAACAGAGCTGCTTGAGGTCTGCTAAAGCACATCTGGACAAGCCAGCTTCATTCTGGAATACGGTGCTGCAGACTGATGAAACCGAGTTATTTGGGCATAGCAAGGGCGTTATGCATGGAGGAACAAGAACACAGCATTCCAGTTAAAACACCTGCTACCTACAGTAAAACATGGTGGTGGTGCCATCATGCTGTGGGCTGTGTGGCCAGTGCAGGGACTGGGAATCTTGTTAAAGTTGAGGAACGCGTGGAGTCCACTCAATATCAGCAGATTCTGGAGACGAGTCCAGGAATCAGTGACAAAGCTGAAGCTGCACCGGGGCTGGATCTTTCCACAAGACAACCCTAAACACCACTCAGCATCTACTAAGGCGTTCATGCAGAGGAACAAGTAGAACGTTCTGGAATGTTC